TGTGTTTTATTTGGAAATATTTGAGTCTGCTTATCTCCGCCTTGGTTATGATGAGATTTTTCATCATAACAAGATCTCTTGTTTCGAAGAGTTTATTGACTTGGTTGGTTGCCAGCTAGGATTCGGATTTAAATATCTTAAGGGTGACTCTGATTCCCAACGATAGCCTAAGGCCCGCGATCAATGCTTCATACTCAGCTTGAATGTTTCTGGCACCGAAATTGAGTTCAATGGGTTGACTAGGAATAGATCTGCCCAAGCTACACATAACCATGCTTATACGTCTTCGTGTGGTTTTAAAAGCTCTGTCAACATAAAATTTCCATGTCAGGGTTTCATGTGGATTAACTTCTTCTGCTACCAAGTTTTCAGAGAAGTCGGCTAAGAAATTTACTATGACCTGAGCTTTTATGATTATCATGAGTATGTATGTGATATCAAACTCACTCAGCTCCACTGCCCATTTAAATAATCTCCCGTAGTGTTCGTTCTTGAATAATACGAACTTAAGGGGATGATCAGTCACCACATGAAGAGTGTGAGCTTGAAAGTATGGAAACCACTTTATTGCAAAGACTAGTAGTGTCATAGTAAATTTTTTCATGATCATATACCTTTGTTCGATCCCTTGCAAAACTTTAATGATGTAGCAAATTGGAAATTTTTTTTTGTTTTCTTTTCTGATGAGCAGTGAGTTGATAACCTCCTCACTCCCAAGTAGATGCACGGTTCTTTACCAAGAATCGGACTATGTAACAAAGGTAAAGCTGATAACAGGCTCTTGAGTTGCGTCAAGGCCTGCTCGCACTCATCAATCCATATGAATCAGTTGACATTTCTAGTTCTATTAAAAATGGGAAACAACAGTCTCTGAACTTTGATATGAATTAATTAAGATATGTTATTCGTCCTATAAGGACTTGCATACGTTTCTGGGAGTAGGCATTTGGAGGATAGCTTGCACTTTCACCTGGTTTGGTTTGATCCCTTAAGAAGTAAGCAAATATCTGAGAAACTTTATAAAAGTTTCCCCGAACATACATTTAAGGGGGTTGAGCTAAAACATGTATTTTCCTAAAGTGGTGAAGGTTTCTTCGAGATCCAATATATGTTGTTGCAAAGTTTTACTTTTCACAAACAAGTCATCAATATAGACTTCAACATTCCTTCCTTTTTTTTGTAAAATATGGCATACATCAACCTTTAATAAGTCGCCCCGACATTCTTTAAACAAAAGAGTGTAATCTTATCGCAAAATACTCCTTACTGAGTAATGAAGGAAGTCTTCTCAGCATCAGTCGGATGCATCTTTATCTAGTGATAGTAGAAAAAGGCGTCTAAGAAGCTCATTATGAGCATCTCACAGTGGAGTCGACCAGTACATACATCCTTGGTAGAGGATGGTTGTCTTTTGAACAGACAGTGTTTAGGTTGGTAAAATCTACACATATCTGTCATTTATTGTTGTCCTTTTTCATCATGATCATGTTGGCCAACCATTTAGGGTGTTGCGCCTCTCGTATAAAGTTGGCATCCAGTAGCTTTGATATTTCATGCCAAATTGGGTTGGCAAGCTTGTTCGATGACTTCTGCATCTTCTGCTTGACTGGCTCGGCTCCTGAGTTGACATTCAAGTGATGATAAACTATGTCTATATCCACTTCTGAAATTTCGGTGAGGCTCCAGGCGAAGACATCTGTGTGGCTTCAGAGGGCATCGATAAGGAGATCTTAGTTCTCCTTACCAAAATCCTCACTTACTAGAAAAGCTCGACTTGGCTCCACGGTGGACACGGGTATGGACTTGGGAATGTGAGCGGACTCAAGTCCGCTACCTTACCTGCGATCTTGGATGAGAATGTCTTCCCTCACATTTTCCACCATTCGTAGATAGCAAGTTCATGATTGAACCATATCACCACAAACTGTGACCACTAGCCCCCTGTCGAGAATTAACCACGACGTGATACGTAGAAGCTATCGCTTTGTACTTGTTGAGGAATGGTATGCCAAAAATGAAATTGTATGTGTTCTGTGATTCAACTATGATAAAATCTATCGTTGCCTCAAATTAATTGTCATCCTCTCCCCATATAATAGTGTGTGGGCTGAATCCACATGTTTCTTTTCTTTCTCTAGAGAATTCGCAAAAAATTCTAGAGGTGGGAGCCATTCTGCTAGTCGCTAGCCCAGAACAGGACGTTTGAGGAGCTTCCAGTGACAACCAGAATGCTTCCGATTTGGAAATCCTCTATGACAGCGGAGACCACGATGGTTTCATTGAATGCGTTACTCTTGACAGGTAGGTTTGTGTCTTAAAAAATGATGGGAGGATGCGTTGATATGGCTGTCAAGTGGAGTCGACGAAGGAAACATCTTCACGTTTGACCTTTTTAGGCTAGATTTGTGTGTGGCTGCAGATCTGTCGCCCTCAAAATGGTGAGTACAAATCCCCAAATCTGAATGACTCTAGTGGGGGTCGGTTCGCCACCCCCACCTGTGGCAGAAGCTTTGCCTTATCTTTGGGTGTGTTCTTCGAGGACAACAAAATATTTAAGCTTTCTGACTTTGATGAGCTCCTCGATGATACTACAAAGGTGGCGACATTCTTCAGTGTCAAGCCCGTGGTCCTGGTGGTATTTACAGTATTGATTGGGATCATGGGTTTGAGTGTTGGCTTCCAAAGGAAAAAACTTTCTGAAATACTCTTTTCATGTATGGCCTCCACAATTTCATCCATTGACACTCAAAGGCGTTATTTCAGTTGGTGGTGGAGTGAGACAAAGCATTCCTCGGTTTTCCTCAGGTTATTGGCGGTAAGCATCGATATCCTATTATTGTGCTCTGATCGTGGGTAGTTTTCATGTGCATCTTGAGGGCTTCCCTTTCTAGGAGGGATTCTCAAATTTTACTGATCGTAGCACACTTGTGTGCGATATTCTTTGTCGGTAGTCATAGCTTGCAAAGGACTTGCATGTGACCTGGACTCTTCGACATGAATATGTCTGTTTTGCAAGTTCAAAGAGTTTATCTAATGTCTTGGGCTTTCTAAGGCTAAGATTGCAACTGAATGGGCCCTCACGCAACCCTTCTATCGATGCAACTCAAGCCACTGCGGGATCTAAATCATGTATATCTAGCATTTCCCGCTGAAAACGTGAGATAAAATTTATGAGACTCTCTGTAGGGTTTTGACATATCATCAGGAAAGCTTGCGAGCTTTTCGATGGCTTCTGTGTGCTTGAGAATTGAGTGACAAACATTTGCTTGAACTCTCTCAAAGAGGTAATCACCCCCTATAAGTAAGTGGTTGAATTAGCGTAAGGCTGATTCCTTCAACGTCATAAAAAATAGATGATAGTTCAGCGAGTCATTCATCTAAAGTAAGCAGATCGTTGACTCGAAGGATGTCAGATGATATGCAGGATCAGATTCTCCTTTATAGGATTCCAAGGTCAGAAGCTTAATTTTCCTCAGTGCTTCAGCCTCTAAAATTTCTCTTGAGAAGGCTCCTTCTATGGCCATGTATCTTCTATTTCTTCTTCATTCTTCCTCATAATAATTGGAGGGAAATCTATGTCTTCTTCGGCGCCTCATTTAAGTTTCGTCAGTGAGTGGGCCTAATAAAGATCTTGTCCTTCTTCTTGGTTCCTCCACAGTGCCAGTTCTAGACCTTCCTGGTCTGATAAATTCTCCTCGTAATGGTGTTTTTGTGCTTGTTCGAACGTTAGGCCAAGGGCTCTTCCGAGCAAGTTTCGAGCTGGAGGTTCATCTCTAGGATGAATTGCCCTCGCTATTCCTAGCCTTAGTTCCTATGGTAGTGGAATCTCTCGTTGTCGCAACTTTGTTTTCGACACTTCTTTTGAGGCATTTATGGAGACAACACCCTTGGGTGTGGTACTCCCGGCATTCGTGGAGGATTATAACATATCACGATGTCCCTTCTGTCTGGACCTTGTTCACTAGCCACTGTCCTGGAAGATCCTGTATGAGTCCTTGTTTCGAAACGGGTTCAGGATGCTTTGCGCAAGTTTTGCACCTCTTTTATCATTTGGTATCGCATTTCTTTTATCTGTTAACATACGTATTTTCTAGTAGCATCCATTGTTCTTCTTCGTTTTCTAGAAGTGGTGTAAGAGAGGATTATGTGCTCAAAATTATAATGTGAAATTCATACTCACAACACCTTTCAAGATGTTGAATTCTTTTTTGGGATGTAGGGTCTCATATTGTTCGTGATACAACACAATCTGGTATAAGATTTTGAATGCCTCCAGTAGTAGAAGAAAAACGAGAAAAACTGAGGAGCGTGATGGATCCTCCCTTTCCTTAGAAGAATGCCCAACTTTTTTAAGAGCAAAGCGAGAGAAAGAAGTAGGGAGAGAGATAGAGAGACCTCAACAGGATGTTCGTCCCCCATGTGTCACATAGAGACGATTCTCTTTCTTCCGTGGAACGTGTTCTCTCCCACATAAGCTAGCCTCTACCGATCTTTTTGATGAGAACACTTTAATGAGAACATAACCACTCCTTGTTGGACAAACCAATGTCGGCAATGTGTTGGGCATCCTTCATCTCAAGCCATTTTTTAAATAATTTTCAAGGTTGAACCAGTTTGAATGAGTGGACATTATTTATGGTTGGATTGGACCAGTTTGAATGATCAAGAGCGATATGATCACTTCGGTAAGCACGTATTGCGAAATACATTTCGTAAAAGAGGGGTCCGATTCGACCTATTCAGGTGATCGACAATTTGATCATTTCAACAAACGGATCCGATTCTGCAATCCAATATTTATGTATACACTCAAATTATGAATTCAAGCAACCAAACATTTTCTCACGTATTAATAGAGAGCTACTCATTAGATTAACCAAAGCGACTTTAAAAAAAGGACTACCAATACATCAAAAATACTAATAACAAAGCAAGGCACTCCATAACAACCAGTTTAATTAAATTTACTTTCATTTTCTAAATAAAATAACAATGTGCTACATTCTTCTTCTTCCTAACTCGCGGACAAATCCATCATCTAAGCTTAAGGTTAACTTACATATTGAGAACCACGTCATAATCGCTAACAAAGTTAAAGACTGTAAATTTAACGGCTATTTCCAACGGGAAATATGACCTTACATGCAAGTTAGATAACCGATCAATAAGCTACATACTAATGAACATGATGATACAGATCAGCATGATATTTGAGCAGCCGTCGAAATTCTTTCTCTGATGTCACAAATAAACACCAAGCTCCAGTTCACAATTTCATCATATATAGCCTTAACGGGCTTCCGTTACTTGAACTTTCTGCCCATTTTTCTCCACCACCCTTCAATCATACCCCCAGTATAAAATTAGATAAATCTCTGATCTTATGTGACCTCTGTATCATTGCCATTGCTCGGTACACGAAGTTCATCATAACATTTAAGCGTCTGAGAGCTATAATTTTCCAGCGATTCAAATATTGGAATCAAGCCAGTCTTCAAGCTACACGAAACAACTTCCTGAATTTGTTTCATGGCCTCTTTATGTTTCGCCTTTTCTTCATCTAGTTGCTTTCGCATCAGATCAATGTGCATCATATGCCCACTATTTAAGTCCGCAATATCATTGGAGGAAGGCATGGAGATTTTATTCTGGTTATGCAGAGCCTTCAGTTTCCTGGCAAAATCTTGAGATAAATACTCCGCCTTGAGTTTCTGCTGCTGTTCCTCATCCTGGGTTTCACATAATCTGTGCAAATTTGTAGCGAAGGCATGCATTGCTTCTAGCACCTCATCCTCAGATGTCCTCTCTATCATATGGAACCAATCACTGGAGAAGACGAAAATGGCAGGAGCACCAATTCTGCCTGGAGAAAATGGCACGATGCCGTCTGGTGTCTCTTCTTGTTCCTGGTGAAGCCACTTCATTAGCCATCCGTTTAGTGATTCAATATAAGCTTTTTGAGCTCTAACCCAATTGCTGAAACAGGAACACCAGTTCATCAGCTCAAGCTCTAGCTCTGATGTGACTTTAGCAGGTAAACTCTGTGGTGAGAAGGACTTGAGTAGAAATTTCTGGCTTCTGGCTTCGACAATAGCCTGGAACTGCCTGTGATGACAATCTAGCATAGACCTCCACATTCTAATTAATCTGAACAAGAAAAGAAGATGTTCTAAAAACTTGTTCTTGTTGAAAAATGGTCATGATAGAGAAAAGTCATGTATATGAGTAATGCATTTGGTTCAAAGGTACTCTTAAGGTAATAGCAATGCGATCTGTCCATTTCACATACAAATTTCACATTCCATTCAATATTTATATTCAAAGGCAATGATTGGAAATGCTAGGATATTGTGCAAACCAGGATTTGTAATGATAGCCTTTAGATTGCAATGCGTGTGTTAGTCAATGACAATGATTGGAAATACCAGGATTTGTAATGAATTATATAATCCCTGAAATTAAAAGGAGTATTTGGGTGGTATGATTTGATTCTTTCACTGTTTCACCCATTCATCATATTTTAAATTTCAAAATGTAATCCCATGTTTACCTGCAAGTTGAGTAAAATATCTAAATTGTATTGCAAAATTCCCTTATTATAAATTTCAATATTTATATTCAATGACAATGGTCAGAAATGCTAGGATTTTGTGGGTCCCGCTAACACGCGGATTGAAGCTTTAAAAGAAAACTGTGAGAAAATGCTAGGATTTTGTGGGTCCCGCTTATTGTCTTATCAAGAAATTATGAACACGCGGATTGAAGCTTTAAAAGAAAACTGTGAGCGCCGGATTGAGGCGTTAGAAAGAAATCATGAGCAAGCGGATTGAAGGCTTCGACTGTTTGATCGATCTTATAATAGCGCTTAGATTGCAATCCATGCACTATTGCTTTATTGACTCTTTTTAATTATTTCTTTTAAAAATGTCTTGCTAAAGACTATAAATATACTGATTTTGTTTTGTCCAAGGCACTCACTTTTCCCTACTTTGATTTTATGTTTGTCAAAGCTCTCTATTTGTAATTTCAGATTTGATATAGGGAGTTTTCCTCCTCTGTCAGTAGTTTTTCCCATCTCAGATATTCCATGTGTTAGAGAATTTTAGGGCAAAGAAACGCAAGAATCGGCACAAATTTAGAAAAAAACACAGAGATTTAACGAGGTTCGGCAAAGATGCATACGTCCTCGGGAGTAGAGCAGCGGCTTTTCCTTTCAATTCAGAAAAAGAGTACAAGATCCCTAGGGTTACAAACATGACATATATATATAACTCTGGCGTACAATATGTAATTACAAAATTATTCATGTACCGTACCGCAGGGGTGTTGCCCCTGCACCCCCAACCCACATAACGAAACTCCCTCGATTGGACAAATACTTCCGCTTCGCTCACTTGCTCGCTCTGTTTCACTGGCTCGCTCTGTTCCGCACCAGCAGTCCCTTATCTAGTATATGAGTCATATCTAACACCTGCAAAATTTGTGTTCTTTATATTGCTTATTTCATTGTTTGGTGCATCAATTCAATATCAAGTTATAAAACATTATATTATAAATTTCAAAATGTAATCCCATGTCTACCAGCAAGTTGAGTAGAGTAGCTAAATTGTATTGCGGAATTCCCTTGTTATAAATTTCAATATTTATAGTCAATGAAAATGATTGGAAATGTTGAGATTTGTAATGAATTCTATAATCTTGATGATATTGAGCATTGAGTAGCAACACTGCCACTTTTTATTCTCAAAAAGATTAATTGATGGCATAAAAAACTATGCCACTTAAAGTTTTTCTTTCTCAAAAGTTAAATTTCTGCTCTTTATATAACTAAATTTTTTCTTTCAATTTCTTGTTTAAAAGCATTTCTTAAGCTTAAACATACCCCATATCATCAGAATTCCATACACTCCCTCATATTCATTTTGTTAACTCATACCTTGGCTGCCCTCGAAGGCACCAAATATTTGCAGAACTCAACTGTTCATCAAATTTATTAAAAATCACTTAAGGACTGCTTCAGCTTCTCTTAGAAGAAAAAAATGTAAACAAATTCGTTTAACCTAGTTTAGTACTAAATAAAAATTCTTCAAACTACTAATGATTGAGAACACCTCACCTAGATCCATAGAGCCTTTTTCTAAGCTATGGACAAGAACGACAAAAAAAAAAACAAAAACAAAAATTCAGGCTGGGGCAGGTAGATGGACATGCTTCGGACACATGGCAACAAGTTGCAGACTTGTAAGAAAGAAAATAATTTACTAGGGCAAGCAACAACAAGTCGTGGGCTTCTGGACAGAGAGTAAGCTAGGGTGCGTGACAAGCATGTTATGGTATGGCTCATATACCATATAGGGACAGACGATGGAAGGAAGCGGAGCGGAGCGGAGCGAAAGAATCTGTCCA